GATTGGGGCAGTAAAGGGTGAATAGTGCCGCGTGGGCTTTCGTTTTCATGTAAGTCTCGTTTGCTGAGCTCTTGCGAGCTCGATAGATCACTTTATTGGCTTGTATATGCTCTAGTTCGCTGCGGAAGGAAGGGCGTGTCAGGGAGTGTGCCACGGTGCCAAAACAGTTCTCTGCCAGTTATTGAAGCTGGTATGTAACAAAGATTGGTAAGAAACGACTGAACGATATGATTCAGTCTTGTCACTTGCTTGCTTCAACAGCTGGTGCAGATCGGATCTGGCACCGCGCCAAACTCTCCCCCTGACACGCCCCTTCATCCACAGCTAACTAGACTACACGTTTCGGCAGAATTCAGCAAAGGGTGCCTACATCACTACAAGGTTTATTGGAAGCCATACTTGGCTGCTTCAGTTACATGTTCCGGGGAGACGGGCAAGAGAATCGTAATTTACCGTTCCGCCGCGCTCGGCGATCTGCGCGGCGTTATCTCAGTTCGTGTAGCCTGTCGATTGGAGCTCCGGTTTTCTCGTGGGCTGCGAAAATGAACATTTATGACTATTTTCGGTTGTACAATGTCTGTTGTCGCCACATACGATCTGAAACCGTTGTCATTTGCGGGTGCGACGTCGATTAATGCGGCAAATTACCATTCTCTTGTCACGTACCCCATATTCCAAGTCTACTTCACCGTGAATGTTTCCTTTGAGATGACTCGCGAGGTACCAAGTAGAGTGACTTCCGAGTCCAGTCTCAGAGTATATGAAATTGCTTGGGATTCCTCCCAGAATCCGGTATCTATACCTAACAGCGACCGGTATTCTGTATCACTATTCTGTACCTTGAAACGTCAGAATTGCTGCAAACATTTTGAGCGAGTATGAGGTTCGGAGGAAGATCCAGGCAAGATCAAAAGTGGTCCCGTGCGCGCATACCATGACGCCTACGATCGAGCAGCGGCAACTTCTTTCCCGACTTATCTTCTGGTGCTACTACTGCTATTAAAGTGCAGTTCTCTGCGGACGGTGGGGCGGTCCTAAGGCCACGCTGGCTGGCGGCCCGATATGTGCCTGTTGGTCGAAAGCGGCAATAGCCTTGCCCCTGCGTCTCTGACACTGACTCTGCGCTCTAACGCACGCCGCCGCACAATCTACCCACTCTCCCGCTCTGGGCTCTGCCGATCGATAATTGCTCCAGCTGATTTTACGGCACTTTCGCAGTATTTTTTTCTACATTCAGCTAAAAAAGCTGCGAATTTTCGACTTTCGGCTCTTAACCGTCAAAGGTGAGTATTTTTACTAAAATTGTATCACAATTTGCACGAATTTAGCTTGAAAATTCCCTTAGAAAACATTTTTTTTTCTGATTTTTGCAATCGTCACAGTTTTCTTATCGTCCCCAGTTTTCTTTTATTATGCTATTAACAGGCTTTTCGAAAGTGAGTTTCAGATCGGTGATCTCGTTATTGATACCGGAACGCATCTTTGACCGTCTATTCTTGAAGCTCGAGAGCGCACACTTGCTACAGTATTCTCCAACATTACCAAAGCGGCTCACCATTAGACAATGAGAACAAGACGCAGATTCGAGGACAGAATCCAAAAGGAAGAGAAATAAAAAAATAGTCAGCAGAGACTCACAAAATTTCAGGATATGGGAAAAGGGGACCATTAAGGCGACTCCGAGCTTCAAAACAGAGTCAAAGATGGTTCTCGATAATAACGAGATCACATCTGAGACTCTACTTTGAAAAGCCGGTCAATAACATAAAAAAAACTGGGGACGATAAGGAAAACTTTGGACGAATTGCAAAAATCAGAAGAAAAAAAATGTTTTCTAGGGGAATTTCAAGCTAAATTCGTGCAAATTGTGATACAATTTTAGTAAAAATACTCACCGCTTTGACGTTTGAGCCGAAGTCGGAAATTGCGAGCTATTTCTAGCAAGAATATGGCAGGAATTCGGAGAAAATGCGTCGGGGATCAGCTGATGGACAGCGTCAGCCATTATCGATCGGCGAGAGTGCACGACGGAAGAGTGAGTAGAGGGCGCGGTTGGGTGTGTTAGAGCGCAGAGTCAGTGTCAGAGACGGAGGGGCAATGGTGATAATTTTCTGGAATATTTCGCGGCTTTCCATCGCCACGCCATCAACGGAGCGCTCCGCTCCGGCGTGGTCGTAGGGAACGCCCCACCGTGCTCGGTGAGCACTCCCTGTAACACCACCTAAATCTGGGTATGATATCAAAGTCTCGATTGCTTCCCAAAGAGTGAACCGTTTCGAAGGCATATTTGTCCCATATACTCATCTGCGACGGCCAGATTACGTACAAACCCTTGTTTTGCTCTTTCCGTCTAGCGTGGAACCACCCTGCAGCTCGACAAAAGTAGGAAACCTCATGGTGTATTGGTGTGACCCTGTCTGTTAAGTCCTAGTATTTGTGCAGGTGGTAACAAAGCATTCGTTTCTAAAAAATGTCTTATTGAATTTGTTTTTTCCAGCATCGATCTGAATGCAGCGGACACGGGTGTACAACCAAAACAGAATTTGCCACGTGCGGCGGCTAGTGCAGGACAAGAGAAGAAGGACTGCAATTGTTAATAACATTGACCGTATCATAAGCACGATGGTTTCGTGTATAACCACATTCCGTATGTGGTGGCGAGTTCGGTGTTTGGTAAGGTGACGTATGTTCTTTTTGTTTTTGGTTCTATTCATATTCCCACTATTGCATAGTGGTGAATGTTCTATTGATAAAATGATTGTACTAGTGACGACTGTTTAGATACTATATTATCATAACCTCTTTTTTTCCTGTTATGATGTTTTTTTCATCGACCCATGAGAATATCTGTAGATAGTGCGCTTATCTGTCTTTTTGGGCCATTAAAAAAAGACATTGAACATTGCGTCTCGAAAATAGTATATCCATGCTAATTTCTAAGCATATGTTCTCGCCTTCGCATAATGGTTGTGAGCATGTGAATTTGTATCGAGACAAGTTTTTTTTTCGCTGTTAGGCCTCCGCTCGTGTTAAGCACTGATCCTACGGTATGTCAATCTATGGTGTGACCCCCAGAAAACTATGTCCGACCATTTCCTTTCATCCAGTGAAATTACCCCTACAAAATCTCATCTATGTAATAACTATTAGATCTTTTACAATGTGATATTCTTCTTTTCCTTAAATTATTGATGATTTTTACCTGAAAATACATATATAAAGATTCAATGAATAGCGTAATAGTTTTGGCATGAGCTGCCATTGTGGGGGAATCTGGAGGGAACGCCTCCATTTTTGTGTCATTCAGCCCCTTGCAGTATTGATCAAGTGCTGCAGCTCGTGCTGCCCGGTGCTCCACATTTGCACTACAGCGAATTTGTTTTGGCAAAACATGGATACCCCGCGATAATGAGGGCTTCCGTAGGAGAGCGAACCAGGAGTTTGCTCACCGTCACCGTTGAGGACCGAAGATCAGGGACTAGCCGCATTTGCCAAGGTTTCGAAGATCAGGTCGGCTGGGCACGTCATGCGTTCCGAAGATGGCCGCTGGATCAGTGATCAGATTAGCGCCTGCATTCCACGGGATCTCAAGCGGACACCTGGACGACCGCCTACGCGATGGTCAGACTTCTTCGTGAAAACTAAATGAACTGTGTGAAGTTCGACGGAGCGTGAGCAGGACACAGCGAACTTATTGAGCAACTCGAGCGCGTCGCAAGGACGAAAGGAGATGTTACTGGGGCCTGCTCAAGCAACTCTTTGATAAACATGAGTGCAGGTGATACAGGTGAATGTTGAGACGTCGTGACGATGCATCGTGGTTCGAGGGAATGGGCTGCTTTGAAGCTGCTCTTCTGGTGTTGTTCGCCATCCCGCTACGGTCGTACCATGTCTTGGGTGATATCTCAGCCCAGCTTACGAAGAAGACCAGAACCGGATGATAGTTAACTAGTTGTCTATGTCTCAAGCAACCCACGAATTCACATTTATTCTCTTTGCCCTCCTATTGCCGACTTGTAGTAAACGTGCACTTCTTCATTAGGGTGTAGTTGTGACTTCCGCGTACGATAGCGAACCAGTTGTTTATAGTCTCAAGCAAACCACGACATTCACGTGATTGCCCCACTCCCACCTAGTTACCGACTTTTAGTAAATGCCGATCCTTCTTCATTAGGTGTAGTTTTATGACTTCCTTAACTACGCGTCGCGATACAGTCTGAATATCGTCCCAACTGAAGGGCGGTACCAAGAGGGATGGAGTGAGCCCAGCTGGTGTTTTCGCCATTGGCTCTTTTCTTTTTGCATTGATCGGAGCCCATCATTATTGGTAGAGCAAAGCAGCCGGCGGCGGGCTCATTCGCCCACCCGACTCCTAATACTGTCGCAGCGGGATTGTGGTGGTGTCATAGAACTAGTTATAATCCTGTTGATGGGAGGCATAACTAATACTTCATGCAATATCTGCTTGATTGGCACCCCCCTTCCGGGTTACGTCCGCGAACAGACTTACGAGTTCCCCATCGTACTTGGAGTGAATACTCCTTGCGAAAAAGCTTTATACACTATGCTGCAAAGCTTGGAAAACACGCGACTGCGACTCTAGTGGACAACAGTGGGGCACTTCCCTGTCCAGAAAAAAAAACGCCCCGCGTTAATATCTCAGACGCCTGACAGCCCAAGCTCAGCAGCGAAATAGGACTCTACACTCCTTCTGCAGTGATGCTATTTGGTTCTTGGGCATCCAATCAATAATGAATAGTCTACACAAATCTAGCGCAACAAAAGGTATCGTTGGACGGACGGCCGAACCACACTATGAAGGAGTGCAAAGGTGAGTGGAAAAAAAGTTACTTGACATGATAGGGAGAGAGCAATTAATCCGAAAAAAATCTGATCCCAGAATAGCTCGTGTTAAGAGTGAAGTAGGGGAAAACTTAGAAACTAAGTGCATCATAGCCTGAAGTGTGTTCGAGATCCCCTTCAAAGAACGCACCCGAAACCACAGAACAGGGAGCATGTGACGAAACAATCGTAATATGCCGCGCTGGGCGTGACGAGCGACACCGCGCACGCAAAAGACGAGTTGCCCTGCCCGGCCGTTTGAAAATCGAGCGCCAAAGAGACGGAAATGATCCACATCACTCGGGATGAACTCTTACCTCCGCTCGTATTTCCACGACTTTCGCTGCTCCAGTCGGCAAACTGATAAATTTCCGCAAGAAGCAACTCACGCGGGAAACTGCGACTATCTTGTCCATGTTACCAGAATACTATGTGGTAGCAAAATATGGAACCGCAAATTCTCGAATCCTTCTATAGAATATTCAGCTCAACAGACAAGGGGCTACTACTATACGTCATGTCTACCCAAACTAAACTAGCATGCAGCTGTTTAGAGAAAAAAAATGACAAAAGAGCATTTTTGCCTTCTGTTGTCGAGCAAAGGAAGGCAACCACGCTACCAAATAAATTTGGGCATTTCTCAGAATGACTTTCACCTTTTTCGTTCAAAAACCCATTTTGCGGCGGCGCGTCGTTACAAGTGTTATACGCCCGGCGGCTCTATGGAAAAACTCACCGGCGAGCGCATGCGTCGGTACTGTTATTCATCGCAGCGATAACGCGGCGAAAAGGAAAGAAAAGACAGCGCGGTAACTCTGCAGTCTTAAGACAATGAACATATTGCCGATGATGGGTAACGAAAGATG